TCCAACGAGACCTTCATTGCAAAGCAGTCACGAAATGCAGAATTGTCAGATTCATTCTTTTCCAAACATTTCACCTTTGAAACTGACCCCTTCACTTTAATTCCTCCGTCGTCTGGTGCTTCCCTCAAAACCATTAATTTTGCTCCTGAGAGTATTCAGAAACTGGCAGATCAACGTACTAACTCGCACTCAGTAGGAACTGACATCCCGAACTCTCTTATAAAGCAGCTAAGAGATTTTCCTCCTCTGTCTAGCAAACTCCTTTTAGTGTTCCTCGAAAATGGTCTCTTTCCCGGCTATTGGAGAACTTCTATTATTATTCCAGTATTTATGTTTGGCTGTCGTTCTGATGTTCGGAACTATCTCGGTGCCCATAAGAAACCATTTTTACAAAAATCATTGCAAAATTTGTCGTCATGAGAATTACCGATTTTTCTATAGCCAATCAAGCTAGTAACCCTTCCAAACATGGTTTTTTACCCGATCGCTTATGTAAAACATGTCATATGTTGTTCCTCAATCTACTTACTTCTCTTCGTAACGATCATTTATCTTTTGCCGTCACTTATTTTGATCTTAGTGAAGCCTTTGTTAAAGTGCCATATTAAAGACTCTTATGTAAATTAGGGGCTCTGGGACTTTGTAGCCCTCATATAGACTTTATCAAGTCATACCTGCCTAATCGTAAACAAAAGGTTTTAGTAGAATCTTAATTTTCCACTGAGTGTCCTATTGTGAGTGGTGTCCAACAAGGTACCGTTTTAGGTCCTCTTTTGTCCCTGCTTTGCATCATTGATATCTCGTCGGCAGGTAAACATTCCCAATCCCTTAATTATGCTAATTATCTCAAATGCGTATATTCATTCAATAAATCCACGAGCCACTTTTCCCTGAAACAAGTCCATGTTGATTTGCTTGCATTTTCAGCAAGGAACTCAAAATGACTAGTGGAATTCTCTCCGTTAAAATGTCGTTATATGTGTTTTGGACCTAATAGGCTACCCCATCCAGTAGTCTTTCAAGGCACACCTTTGACTGAGTATACCACCATCATGGATGTAGGCTTAATTCATACCAATAATTTTGATCTCTCGCCACACGCTGACGGAATTACGGCCAAAGTTGCCATAATTTGTGGCTTTATTTCTTACGATATCTATCTTCCCTAAATTAAATGTAGACTCTATCTGATGTTCCCATTCTTGAGTATTGCTGTAAATTCGTTAGTTTGATGAAGGAGAATTGTAGTTTAAAAATCGAAAATGTTCAGAGACATTTTACTAATTATTTCCTACTCAGACAGATGCCACACAACTAACCTAGAATCTTTATGAGTTCGAAGACTGGAAGCAGGTTTCTATCTCCTCTTTCGCATTAATAATAGTTCAAATCTTCCTCGAATTCCAGCCCTACCCTTGTTGGTCGGCCGTACAATCATCGTTCGTGATTCCATCTTCCTCATTTCGACCTCAAGCGGTCTGTCGACGCTCACGGCGGAACCCTCTGTATTCGCCGTCTACTAGTAGTTTTTGTCGTACATCCCTTCTCCACTCATCGGCTGGGCTCGAAGCGGACTGTGGCCGATCGCGTCTCGGTCCCTCTCGTCTGGCCTCTTTGACGCGAATAGTCCCATCCGGCATGCCAATCCTGCCCTGACGATGTCCGTTCTGAATCCCGTATGCAATACCACATGCAGGCCAGTCCTGTCCGACCCTCATACATACGCCTCAAGGCTGGCATTTATTTCTGCCTTGACGATGTCCGATTATAACCTGTTTTATAGCGCCACACGGGGATCAGTCCTGCCCGCATTTTCCTGTTATTATTAGCGAGGGTCTTTTCTCCTGTAAAATCAATCCAATCATTTTAAATTTTTTGGTGAAGTTTTTTCACCGCTCGCTCATCATTTTTGTAAACGGACTACAAATTCAGAAACTATGAATTGCATTTTGTGCAGACACTGCCCATCTCTTCTAAAATTCGTATGTAAATTTATTTTTACTTGCTTTGATGGGACCCGGGCGGGTGTTTAATAAATATTCTTTATTTATCCTTTGATTGGGGCGGGCTATTCTGAAAAATTATGATACCAAGAAACTTGGCAGGGTCAAAACACATGAAAATACAACTGAACGAAAAAATTCCATCTGCCATGTTGAAATTCATTTCCCTAGGCGGGGTAAACTGGCTTTACCTGTTTCAGCGCATACGTCTACTCTACCCTTAATGGATAAATAAAAACATTTGTTTGAAATTGCATGTTTTCCTGGCTGTTCGCGCTTTCCATTCTGGATTTCTTCATTGCTTTTCTTATAACCTCTTATAACCCGGCTTGGCTTTCAGAATCGTGCGAAGCGTATGCGAACTCGGTGGTTTTCTGCAATGCCAATGCGACAGAGGAGAACACGATTACCTACGAAAAACTGTACTAGGAATCTCCAGGTCATTATAACTACATAGATAACATTTGTTTATAACATCCTATTGGGGTTTGCCTGCATCTGGTCTAATGCACTTCGAGGAGAAAACTCTAAACAAACTGGTCAATTTCTCGCATGCACAGACTAATCAGGCTCCATTCACAGTAAGCTCCTCACTGAGGAGCTATGACCGAATTTACTATGCATAGTTTGTTTTTCCTTGGTTAATTTCCGAGGAGATTCATACGCAAACTCGGAGCAAATCTTCCGGAACAGATCATTTCGGGCGCTGTCCGAAATCCGATATTTATATTCGAGTTGAACTCCACCAGCTACTGTGGAATAACGCTTACTAGTCACAGACCTCAGCAGACAGTCAGTAGTATACAATTGTCTAATTATTCACCATACTAAAACCACGGGTATTGGCGAAATGCTTAAGAAACCATGTTTCGCCGATCTTTGCCACTTCCCAAGACAACTGAGGGGGTTCGGCTAATCAGTGGGTACCCGAGCTTTTTCCTTGTGTATTCTGGTATATGAACTCCAGTTTCACTTTGCTTTGTTTAATTTCCGGGGAAATTAATGCGACTGACTATTCGTTTACAACTGCCTCCATACGCTTAGCAATAAACCTCTTAGTCTTATACTTTTTTGGCATTCCGCATTGTTAACGGAACCGTGTCCGGACGTAAGTTCGACATCACCCATTATACAGGTAACAGGTAAGGCTGGGTATGCGGAAATTCTCTCTCTCTACCAGTACAGTCACACGATGAAATGTTCTTCCCGGAGATCTCTCGTTATTCAATCGTCGGAAAGGAATGAAACGAACCTTGAGATATCTGTAAAAATTTTGATGGATTGCGATGCATTTAGTGATGCGTTGCAAATCCTTTACTCGAGGAGGAGTTCTGTCGGCATTGCTGTTTGAATCGATTATTGGAAGGGGGACATACATGTGTTCATTCCTACGCTGCTACCAGTAAAATGGACCATAAACCTCTGAAATACGCCACACTAAACTGTACTGAACGAGTGGAATCGTTATTTTGCCTTAACGTATGCCAAGCAAATCAGGGCAGTGAAATGGGAAAAATATTGATAGGGGCGTTGTCATAGTGACAGATTATACAGGTGATTATTTTGGAACGCACAACAGGAGCAGTATGAAGGTGCGGTACGCACAAGGCGATCTGACTCATAGGCGAAATGCTTAATGTCTGAAAGATGGCAAAGCAGGGGCCTTGGCGGTATGGACAATACGACAGTGGAGATCACAGAGGAGAGTGGAAGTTTGTGATAAAGGTAGTCAAGTAGAGGCGGGGAACTCTTCATCATCTACGATTGAAGGACGTGAGGCGTGCGTCATCCACGTCGGCGCCAGCTCAGTGGATTCCAGAATAGTTCAAGATGGGGATACAAAGCTCAAAGGTGTCATGCATCCGCCATCCTTCGATGAACCTGTAGACGGCGTCGCACTTTGATATCAGGATTGTCAGAAGGCAGGGTGAAGTTAAACACTCTTGATTATCAGCCGTATTCTACCACGGAAGTCATTAAAGGCCACTTCTCGTTCACATTTCCAACACCGGTGGGCCTTTATTCGGTGATATGTGTGCCTGAGATAACAATGGTCGTCTGGTATGTAAAAAGCAGAAATACTTTCCTCAGCGATGTAATGCCTAAAACTCGTCAACTGCGTGGATCAAAAATTGAAATTCGAATCGAAAAGGCAAGGGGAGGCGACGAAATTGCAATTTCGGAATCGGAAAACACCAAGACAAGGGCAGAATATCGGCGGAACATGTGTCTGGCTTTAGGCCAATACCTGTGCGCTGAAGTATGTTATACCTTGTTACCTATGCACTAAGACTCTGTGTTTTAATGTGTGAGACAGTAAACAAAGACGAGCCATATTCTGACCGATTTTTGGTCGAAGTACCCCTACCTGTATTAGAAGGCGATGGGTTGCCTGGTGAAGTGTTGTCGCGAGGGAACGAGCGGTATGGAAATTCTCCTAGGGGTATTCGTAGAATAGTTTGTTATCACTGTTAACAGAAATTAGGCAAAATCTAATCGCTCGATAATCTGACCATGTTAAGTCTCACGAGTCTTTCCCATGGAGACTGCTACTTAAACATATAAGTGAAGTTTGCTTATCTTTATTTACTTAGTTTTCATCGAGGTCGCGCCTAGGAGCATAACGTCCACCGCCTTTCAGAGGGGGGACATATCTCCAAAATTTTGAGATCTGATTAAGGAAGAAAGATACTTTTCCCTTTCTGTCACATCATCAGAGCAAAAAAGATTGATTCAATACCAACATATACTGTCAGAAAGCGTTAAGCTCCTTCCGCAGTCTAAATGTTTGACAAAAGCATTTTCTACCGTGGACGTTACCTCCTCTGAAAATCGAATCCGCCACACTCAGAACGGACTTCCTTATCGAGTAGACATAGAACTGCAGCATAAGAATAAATAGGAAACGGACAGAATGGATGAAAACGACAATTATGCCTACTAAAACAGGACTCGGTTGTGTTAAAATCTACCAAATCTTACGCGTTTTTATGAAAAATGGTGCTAAAACAGCCGAAGCTGCCGCCAAGGGATAGTGCATCAACGCCCGCCGCAGGTTTGCAATCTTATTTCCTCCAAATTAGTGTATTTTAGAGAATCGGGGTTTAAACTTTTTTTGCAATGAAATTCTCAATCGTACCCAGGGTTCAGGGGGTAAGTTTTGTCGTGTATTAATTTTTCCCAGCCATCTCCATCCTGGAGTTTAACAAGGAAGGCACTCATCTCGCATACGGAAACTCTGATGGAATTTTGAGCATTCTGGAGTTAGGACAAAGTGTAATTTCTTCTCTTTTTTCTGCTGATTCTTGCAGAAATCTGACAATGGCTATTCAACCCATGTGTGTTCCAAGCCCTATCAGTCCTTCCTCAGTCATGAACCGGAGTTTGACTGTCTAAAATCACAATCAATCGAAGAAAAGCTAACTTTCATTCGATGGCTTAATCGGTGTGGTCCTTCACACTTTCTACTTTCCGCAAATGGTATGTTTTCAGGCTTGTTGGTTTTCTCTGATCCTTCATACTTATCTTTGTAGAGCGGACCATTAAACTTTGGCGTGTTACTGAGGTCGCGCTTCGTGAGATGACAAACATGAATTTTCCAACTGAATCTGGTTCAAGAAGAAAGGTCGTTATTCGTTCTAATTCGGACTTGAAAGTTCCGTTGTGGACTGTGCAGTCCGAGAATAAAGTTGTCCGTGTTTATAACAAGAAAGTCTTTGCCCGCGGCCACGGGTTCTCTCTTACAGGGCTTTCTACATTTTCCGATCAGGAAACATTTTTGTCGTCTGATCCGTTGAGGATAAATCTATGGCATTACGACATTGACTCGGAGGCATTCAGTATCCTTTTTCAAATACTAACCGTTGCTAATTCCATGTCCCTTTTCGCAGGACCAGTCTTTGTAAAAGTGACCGACTTAAATGTTTTTGCAGATCGTAGTAGCTTAGTAGCTTGCCCACTCCCAAGGCCCGCAACATAATTAACCTGTGCTGCTCTATTGCCATCTAAGCATTTTGTTACCCTTGTCACTTCAATGTTACGTTGTTGAATACTGCCGAACCCAGAATCCCCTATGTCAGTCTCACCTGCATGTGTCCATGTGGTCGCACTCAGACAGGGATTCATAAATGTAACGTTACAACTAAGCTCTCTTTCATGTCGATAAGGTTCTCTTCCCTAGTTATTTAAGATGGTGATCTTTTACTGAACTGTCAGTACGTGTCGCCAGTCGATGGTGTACTTCCAATGTCATAATATAATCTGTGATCCCCAGCTGCATTATTCGCCGTGGTCGCGAGTTGCAAACGCTTCGATCCTTTCCAGAACAACTGCACCTAGGGGAGTATTTTCTGGACGGCTCTGACCTAAGTTTTATATTCGGTTCTGTCTTCTGCTTAACTTCGTTACCAGACCACGGATACTTCCTGTGCCGGTGTAACGTTTGCACATAAGGGATTTGAGACTGCTTTTTTCTATATGGCGCAGGAAAACTGAGATAGACAAAGTAGTTAATGGCGTTGAGACCACTACCGCGCACGAGGGAGAGATTTCCTGCGGTGTGCAACTATCCAACCACACGTAACCTGTTCGCTCGACTTCATTGCGCGTTTTTGGGAGAAGATAACAATGCGAAATAATAAGTGCCAGGTAAGCATTGTAAAGACAACTTTTACAGAAGCTACAACGGTGCTCTGCAGGAATGGCATGCCGAGCGACGCCAACGTAGTAGTTCGCATAGTGATGTGAGAGATACACTTGTCTTCATTCTTGCGGTTTGACTGACTGCTCGGTTGTTTCAAGTAATCCTGAAAAAGCGGGCAATCCTTTCGTATCACCGAAAGTTTCGGATCGTCGCCATCCAAGTATACGTCACGATTACCTCTTAACTAGGACCACATGACTGGCACTGGCATCCATAGTACTACAGAATACGAGGGAGACCTCTAGAAAGTTGGTGAACCTTCTGCAGGAGACATTGCCTTATTGCGCCATCGACTTTCATACTATGTGGCCTGAAATAGTGTCTAGTCTGCTGAAATGGAGTTTATGCTGTCCTAATCACAAACGTTGGTTTGCCCGACCTTTCTTTTTGCGGATACTAATTTTTTTATGTCTCATGCTACCTTGTTTTACCTTCACTTGGAACCCTTGATGCGATTAAAATCCCACGTTCATGTGAGGATATCGTCAAACTTGTGGAAGATATGCAGACCATAGATGATTTTTTTCCTTGATCGTGTTTTCTGCTATGTGCGAAGCTCATAGTAACTCGCAGATTCTTTCTTAAGTGGTCACTCCGACTTTATTTATGTCATGGCTCTACACCATGGTTGTCGAACCGTAAGCTCATGAACTTCGTAAGCCCTTAGTTTTCATATGTTTCATCCTTCATCGAGTTCAATTGCTTTTGGATATCCGGGATTCGGTTGCGAAAGTCACACATGTTGACGCTGTCTATTTTAACGAAACCACCCATCCACCGGTGGCGTAAAAGGCACCTAGCGAACGTCCGCCTCAAGGACCGTGTCGCCTGTTAGTTACTAAGACCCGCCCCCTCTTCTTTATACCCTTCATTTGTCAGTAACATTTTATAATGCAAATTCTCGATGACATACTTTCACAGCCGACGGCCGGCATCCTCTTATCGTTGTTCCAATCGTCATGCTTTTGCTCACATCGCCATTGATTCATTTGCAATGGTTTTTAAGTACTCATCCGATTTTATCAGTAGTGTTTAAGCCAAATTATTCCTTAACTCCTGTCAACACAGCCATTGTGGATTTAATGCCGGAGCGCATTGAAGATATTACGCATCTAATAACCAGTCTCACAACCTCCCCAAGAACTCCCTCTCTCTTTGCTTACAGCACGAATAGGGGGTCCATTCGTGTCTGCGATTTACGAGCCGCTGCCCGATGTGATCAGCCAGCGATATGTATGTTATTTTCCTAGTTTCAGTGTCTTTGCAGCTGTGGACAATCTTCCTTCATCAGAACAAAACATGGTTTTGATCCTCCTGAACTCCATTGCTGACGTGAAATTTCTTAATACCTCTGATCGCCACCTCGTTTCACGCGACTTTATGTCTGTGAAAGGTATACAACTTTCCCAACTTTGACGTTTTTTAAGTCTGGGACCTTGCAATGCCATCAGCTCCAGTTGAAGTATATGCCGTCCAGTCACACCTCCGGCCTTATCTAAATAGCATATGTGAGACAGAGCTGCTTTTTGATGACTTCAAGTTATCCCTTTCATCGGATGATCGGTAATGTCTTCAACATTGGCCCTAATATTGATTTTTAGTTACATTTTTACTGGCTCCTACCAGGATGAAGTACGCATTATCGATCGATCTATGTCGGGTGCTGGATCTTACAAACTGAAAATGGAATGCGATGATTCACCTTTTTATTCAAACTTTTACAACCAGGCGGACCTGGGTGCCTCCTCACCTGACTCTGCGCCTTGGCCCCGTCCACTGACCTCGGAGTTGATACAAGCTCCCGAGGAGGACATAGAGGGAAATTTCCCAATAACTTCACTCTTCTCTCCAACGAATGTCAAGAAGTGGATAAGCGTGTCTTGGTGTCCGAACTCTCTGGTTGCTGCGACCTGTCATGCTGATGCTATTCACATCATTGAGGGGGTCGAAAATGAGGCCCGCTTGTGATTAGTCTTTCGAAACTCTTTTCGCCACTTAGCCACCACAAGAATCTTCCACATCACCTAGGTCCTTGCTTGCGCACCGCAACTCGCAACTGATCTCTGAATGTCTTACGAAGTGTGCCGCCTTATGTTTCGTGCCATACCCAACTGACCATTTCCAATGTACCCTGCTTCAGGCACGCCGTCCGGCATATTTTTATGTAAAGACCATATACTTACTTTGATCTAAGCAAGTTCCGAGTGGTTATTAAGGGCTCGTGCAAATGTTGTGTACGTGCAGATACCCGCCTCTGGCGAAGTATTCTCTTTTTTTTTACCAAAACCCGATTTTGCTCCTAATCGGGCAACGGCTCTGTTTCATCCTTTTGCCGCAGAATTCAAGTTTTCCAGCCTGAGCTGCCTCTTCGCGCCAGTTTGTACATGAAATCTTGTGAAAATCAGGTTGCCGCCCAAACTACCTTGAAATACCTTGCTCATTTACGTTGGAATTGGTGACTTTTTAAGAAACAGAAGAAGTGTAAAGTCAATTCTAGCCGACTTTTGCCCTTGTTTTCTGTCTTTCCAACCTCTTCTGATTATTTTAGCAGTCTATCGCCTCTAGAGATGATTTTCTAATTCGTTGCTAAGTTCGTCCACATAGCCGCATTAACAATTTTGTCTGGAATCTAAAATAGATTTATTTCGAATGTATAGCACTGCCTTTTGTATGGTAAGCCCCTAGTGGATTGCGTCCGAGTACGCATTCGGTAACAGTGCCTTCGTCGCATACTAGGTGAACAAGATAGTTTTCCGACAGATTTCCTTGTTGTGGTATTTGCCCCCCCCCCCCCCCCCCCTTAAACGATTGGATTCATGTAGCTTCCCTACGTACAGAAACCTTTGTGAAACGGTCACCTCAGGAAGCTTCCCTGGACGACAGCTTATTTGCAGCACAAGGCGTTTTCCATTGTTTGAAATAGGTCCTCCAACCTCTAGGGCATAAGTGGTAGTTCGATCTCTTTCATCTCATCCCTACCTGTATGTTCGTATTTTGTGACACTGTCCGCAATGAAAAGCAGCTTCTGAGTAGTGACCACAGACTAATTACCATCGACGACTTTAAACGATATCATTGTTTGGCTCGCAGAATGCGGTTTCAATTGGAAAGGGATACTTCCAGGTGTCGCCCTAACAACCGGTGTATTGTAGCTCACTACTTGGGGGGGGGGGGGAGGCAATTGTCAATCACGGCTCCTTTGCCCCACACAGTTTTCAAAACGCTGACCTTGGTAACGGGGGGTGCTTTACATTTCCCAAACTTCCAGGCTCTACGATCGCTCTGTGTTTTCAATATCCATCCACCAATGTTGGCGTGGATGCCAACACTTCTTTCCTTTCAGCCGTCATAAGCATGGAAAGTCTGAGTAGCCAGCCATAACTGTACACATATACGTATGGCCTCTAACAACAGACAGTCGAATCGTTACTTGCTTTCAGAGTTGCAGTGTGCGTGGTCGACGTCATTAATGTAATTTCCGTCATAACTTGCCGAGTAGGAGGTCTGGTTCCACTAGCTGGGTAATTCAAATCAAAGCTCATGTAGTCGAGGCGAGAGGCTTCGTGATTCACGCGGAGCGAGGCAAGACGCGGGATTTTCGGGTCATGTCACTGGGCACTGGATGGAAGAAGTACGGCGGATGAATGCTAGTTGCTCCTTGCCCTAGCTCAGCTCATGCTGTACCAACTTTCGTCTGATTGTACGAACAATACGACTGCTGTGTCACATTCGGAGTCAATGGGATTGGACATCTGGAAGATGGAAGCCGCTACCACGGACGTGCTTGCAGAAGAACTGAGGCCATTTTGGGACTTCTAATCGCGGATAACAGTTGGACCCGGCAGCCGCGTGCATGACAAACCCGTCATAATCGAGAGCTTGAATAAAGAATGAACATGCCGTACTCCCGACACGGGTACTAACTAAATGCTCGGACACGTTCTTCGCCGATATTCTGTCGGGAGTACGGTATAATACGTTCGATCTATGCATTTCATGCTACTCTCAGTACTACTTGTTTTCAGAATGGGCAGTACGTTCTTATTCCACAGTAGTCATTTGTTTTCGACTCAAATGTTCCTTGGGATTTCGGTTCTGACCCTAAAAAGTCATATCCCAGGGACTTACCTCCATGTAGTCTGAGTAGTTTTGGAAATTATTCACTTGACATATATATATATATTATGATAGTGGGCGCTCACCGATCAGGTTGCGGAACATGCTCGTTCCGTTGTGCCTTGGGGCTCATACTAGAACCCTCGTAGGCAGTCGCACAGCGACTAGTAGTAGACATAGATGAGATGGAGCCGACAAAGACAAGGGAGACCGGAATGGCCGTTTCTGGCTTATTAGCCGTCATCAGCCAGTCATACCCAACCCCAAGTGTGGATCACTTGAGATTCGAACCCGGGATCTTTGCTCATGGAGTTTGACGCTCTACCATTGAGCCACGGGCCCGTGGCTTTTGGTCGTTCTGTCACTGGGCTTCGCCTTGGCACAGGCTGCCTGTTGCGTTCTTTAAAATTTCGAGGATACCCGTTCGCCATGAAGAGGCGCTGAAGGTGACGTAGTTCCGACCTTTTGTCGTCTGGCTCGCTGCGGAGTGTATCTGCCCTTTTGTATAGTGTGCGTACACAGCTGCGTTTGTGGGACAACGGGTGCTTGCTGTGGTAGCTCAGGATTTGGCGCGCATTGGCGGCCTTCCTATACACCGTTGTTTTCAGGTGTCCATTTGGGTTCCGGTGAACCAGTACGTCTAGGAACGGTAGTTCGTTGTTGCTTTCGGCCTCCATTGTGAATTGAATATCAGGCGAAACCGAATTGAGGACATTGTGAAAGGTTTGAACCATTTCCCGCTTGATGATGACAAAGGTATCATCAACATATCGAACCCAAAATTTTGGCCTGTAGGTCTGGAAGACTTCGGTCTCTACCTTTTGGAGAACTGCTTCTGCGATGAAGCCTGAAAGCGGCGATCCCATCGGCGTCCCCTTGGTCTGTTCGTACACCCTCCCGTCGAAGGTAAAGAACGTCTTCAGGCAGAATTTCAGCAGTTGAATGAGATGAGTCCGTTTCACACTTTCTTCCGTCTCGTCGTACTTGCATTCGAGCAGTTCGTTAACCGTTTGGACTGCTAGGCATTGCGGGATCGAAGTGAAGGGGGCGGTGACATCGAATGACACCATGACCTCGTCTTCGCTGAGTCGGATGCCTTTGAGCCGTTCTAGGAACTGAGCCGCTGAACAGACGGTCGTGGCTGCGTTCGAGGTGAGAGACCTCAGTTTGCGGAATAGCCATTTTGCCAGATTATATGTAGGTGTACCGCGCAATTAAACGATTGGCCGGAGAGGGAGACCGGGTTTGTGTACCTTCGGTAAGCCATAAAAACGTACTGAAGCCGCATCTGTCGGCTTAATGGTCAGCCGTACCGAATTGCTTATTGCTTTGTTTGATTGCATGTCGGTGAGTTCGAGGCTCGGGTGTTCCACACTTCGGGCTTGGGTATGGCTGGCTGACGACGGCTAATAAGCCAGAAATGGCCATTCCAGTCTCACTTGTCTTTGTCGGTAATGCCAATCTGCCTATATATCATGCGCCGCTGTGCGGCTGCTGGTTGGGCTCGAGAGAGAGCCCTTAAGGCACAACGGAACGAGTGAGTTCCGTATGGACGAGCGGTGAGCGCCCCCTACCATTGTATATTCCCGATCGAAAAGCGACAGGGCAACGGGCTCGTGGCCCGGTGGGTAGAGGCGTGGACTTCTAAACCAACAGGTCGCGAGTTCGAGGCTCGGGTG